TATATTATTAATAAAAACTAATAATAAAAAATTATAAAAAGGATATTTATTAGAAAATTTGTTACATTATATTAAGTGTCTAATGGGCATTTGCCTACACTGCCCCTCAGTTTATTTAGTATATTTAATAGTAATTCGCTTAGTATAAAAAATGAAAATATCCTGTTATTGGTAAGATAGCAAAATTTTTACATAATCAGGAATTTCATAAAGCTCCATCTATATAATTTTCAATTTTTGGTAAAATGTATATTTTGGAAGAGTCGATAGCATCGCCAAATTTATAAAAGGTGTCTAAATAAGCAAAAAAAAATTTCCAAGACAAACTTTCCCTTTTGCTTAAAAATACAGGTAAATCAATATAAGTTAACCGGAAGTTAAAGACTCAAATTGACCCCATTATTTTATTTTTTTTAAATAGACCTTTAGGAATTTTTTATACCTATTATATGATATATTATTTATTTTTTTTACTATAAATAGTTTTTGAGATATAATTTAAAAATTTTACAGATTCCAAAGTTGCTCTTTTTGTACCTATGAGACCCTATATCTCGAGAACCAGGTGTGCTAACGAGCTAAAATAAACGGCTTTCTCATTTTTTACCTATCTATCTATTTAATTTCAGAAATTTTTAACAATTTTAAAAGAGGTCGGCCGAATCGTGATCGATTTGACATGGAATGGCCCTATAACTAAACCTTTATAACTTTTAATCATAATTATTAACAAAATAAGTAATCATGGGGCTTGGATATAGAATTATTGATCAGTGATCGCCGAACTGGCCATGATAAAATTTTTTAAAATGAAAAAAGGTTTTTCCTTGACCAAATAAATCCTGATTTGTATTTGTTTTATGATAGATAAATTTTTAGCTAATCTGGACAACTTTCATTGATAAATTATATTTTAAAGGTTTCGCGAATTTAAGGTGATTAGAGGTAACATTGTTTTTGTAATAAATGTATTTTTAAAACAAAATTTTTATGAACCTTGACATCAAATTCTCATTTTCTCGGCCGAGGCTTGCTTATAAATAACTGATAATATTTTTGAGTTTCCCATTGTTATTTTTTTACGCTGAAAAATTAGAAGTAGTAATGTTAAATTATGAAAATGTTTCCTTCTTTATCAGTTTCTATTAGTGCCTTGCTTTAACTAGTAGAGTAACCAGTTTAAAAAAAAACTATTAGCAACAAAGCCAGCCTTACGTCAATTTTTTTAGAAAATTTTATCAATATTTAGTGCTTTAATGCTTTATTTTAATCTGCAAGGCCAGGCCCTATATTATAAATTTTTAATTTGCATAGATAATAATAGTGATTTAAAATATATGGCCCGGCCCGGGTATTTAAAAAAAAAATTTTTTGGCCCAGCCTTTAAAAAAAATAAAATTTTGACCCGAGTATATTTAAAAAAATTAAAATACGGCCTGGTTCCTGTACCCGGACCTGGTTTAAGGCCAGGTCTGTAGGTCTCTGATCTGATTTATAGTGCGCTTTTTTAATTTCTTTGATAAATCTGATTTTACCAAAAAAAATTGTATTTAATAATTTATAATGAAAATCTATATATAAAAAATTAATAAAACTTAATTAAGGTAAGTCGATAGCTTGATGGGTATTTTGTTCTATTCTTTGCATTTTAAATTATTAATTGAGCGCGTTTTATTAAATTTTAAATCTGATTTTGCCGGAAATGCATTCCAAAATGTGTAGAATACCCACTCTATAAATTTCAGAAGATTTTATATTGAACTTATGAATAAATTTTAATTTAAATTAAAAATATTTTGAAAAATTTATGAAAAAATTAATATGAATTAAAGTTTCTTCATAAGTTTGTCATAAAATTGTCTGAAATTTATAAGTAGTGTTATTAGCTTAATAAAAAAATTAATTAGGCTTAACCTAAAAATCGCCTAAAAATTAAAAAAAAGGTGGGGATTGAGAGCTCGGCTAATCGCCCATCAGCGTTACGCAACACTAGCCTTAATTATTATTTATTCATATTTATTAAAATTATTTATATATAATTATTTTATATATATTTATTATGTAACGATATATTAATGACGGACAATTAGCCAAGCTCCTTAGCCAATGCCTAATTTTTGATTAATTAGCACTATTTTTATGCTAAGCCTAATTAGGCTTAGTTCTAAAAACTCGGCTTAACCGATTACGCAACATTAAGGGTAATTCTACACTTATTGAAGTGCATTTTTGGAAAAATCAGATTTTTAAATTTAATAAAACTCACTCAACTAATGATTTTAAATGCAAATAATAACAAAAAATAAAACAATACCCATAAAACTATCGCCTTACCAAAATCAAGTTTAGTAGAAAGATCACTAGATTACTAATATTCACAGGGTAGGCAGGGAAAACAAGTGATGGTTCGATCAATTTTTGTCACAATCATCATAGGTCCGAAATAAATTGTATCTGAATTTACAAAATACTAAATGATAGTTCAAACCCTTACCTATAAATTATACATCGACAAAATTTAATATAGTTTACTTTATTCTCAAAATTGTGGCTTTGTCTTTTTGATTAAGCAATAAGAGAACTTTATACAAATTTATTATCAAAAAATGCTTATCAAGTAAATACTAAATCCCTCACTAATTAAAGCATATTTTGTTTAAGAATAATATAAATGATTTCTTAGGATTAATTATCTGTTTGGCTCAATGTTTTAAATGAGATTTTTCTTAGCTTCTTGCAAATTTAATTTTTTTCCGCCAAAGCTCTATCCAAAATCTTTATTTATTTTTAGGCCCGAGCCTAGCTATTATTTTAAATTTTAGGCCTGAACCTGTCCTGTCCCAAATTTAATTGAAAAATAAACTAAGCGCCTATTTAACAATCAATTAATATAAAAATTTAATTCCTTTACCCTAATCCTAGAGAAATCTATGTTGCTTAGAATCTTTTTTATATATTTTGAATCAAAAGCCTTAGCCATATTTTCAAAAAAAATGTTTATAGACCCAAACCCAACTTTAACTTAATTTCCATGTTCAACTAAGTTTGTCTAAAGACCTATAATTATAAAATTGTAATTTTCATCAAACTCCATTCACTATATTGCAACTGATGTAATTCATTTAAGATAATGTATTAGCAATAAAGCATTCGCGATCATACATTTACTTTATTGCATTCACTATAATGCCTTCGCGATAATTCATTCGTTATAATATATTCGCTTTAATATTTTTGCGATAATGCATTCGCGGTAATATATTCGCGCAAATTTATTCGCTTTAATATATTCGCGATAACACTTTCGCGGTATTACATTCGCTATAATATTTTTGCTGTATTAAATTCTTTATAATATTATCTCGCGGGAATCGACATTCGCTATAATGCATTCGCGATAATTCATTTTGCTCTAAAATTTTTACGATATTGACATGTAACCGCCGCTAATACATTATCATCATTGTATAGGTTGGGGAATCTAAAAGTTACAAAATTAGTGTATTTAAAATATATCTTAATCATAAAATTTTATAAATTTTTATCTTTTAACTTTAAGTTAGAATAAATTAATTTTATTTAACTTCTCACAATGCCTTTTAACATAGAGTCTACTAGGGGCTGGCAAAAATTATATTATTCAATCTCTGTAATTTTGTAATTAGGATACTTAACGTGGGAACATAATACCCCATCTCCATATTATCCTCACCAGCCAAAATTTCAAGGGAAAGAGCCACATATTACATAGCCTAAAAAATTAAAATAATATGAAATTGAATAAATTAATTAGAATTACTTCTGTATACTCTTTTATAAAAGTATGCTCTTCATCGTTAATATATTGAATTCCAACATGATCACAGAGAAAATTCATTACTAATCTTAAAATGCTATTAATTTGATTGCGTGGTATACTGAGTTCCATTTAGTGGGGTGAGGAGTTAATAAATACCTGCCTAATTTTTTTTAAAATATGTCTGAGCCTGTAGAAGATTTGTTCTGCATATTCCATACATTTATAAAAAGTGGATCTTGATACCCTTTTAAAATCTTCATTTCTTAGGGCTCCTTTATCATCCACTGTTGCTATCAAATTTAGATTATGGCCTCTTCATCTCTGATGACTAGACATTAGACTATTTTTCATCACTTCAAAGTTATTTGCTATCTTATTCATTAGTGTCTGGCGACATAAAATTGTTGTAACAGGGGATAGAGTTTTAATCTTCATGGTAAATGATGGATTATCAATCAAGGACATTGGCTGATATCAATTATAAAATCAGCAATAACTTTATTAGCTAGTTTCTGAGAAATATTGGCATGTGCATTATTAATATTTGGTTTGAATTGAATTGGTCTTTGGGTGTAGAGTCGCCTATACGAAAATTATTTAGATGTTTTTCTATTTCCTTAACTGTTGGTATGAACATTTTTATAAAATAAATACTATTAAAATTTAAAAATGACAATTACCTTTAGGTGTTTTTTAAGGTTATAGCTACTGGATTGATTTGAGGTATATTTTTTTTACATTTTAAACAAATAAATTTATAGCCAGGTTTGGTTTTTATATTAATATCAAAATATTTTTAAATTTTGGAAATGGGAAATTTGTATTATTGTTATTAAGAAAATTTTCTTCTCGAATATCTTACATTTCATTATCGCCTGACTCGCTTTTAACGATTTGGATATCCATTTTCGATGACATTTTAAATAATTTACACGTGATCTAGGTTCATAATACAAATTCAAAATATACAAATTGAAAATATATTTCAATTTCAAAATTAAATTATAAATAATAAAAATTATAATTAATTATGATATTATATTTAAATTTTCAAAAATAGTAGCGCGCTATTAGCAATAGTTATCATAAAATAGCGCCATAGCTCGCTACTTTAATAACTCTGGATATAACATACAATATGGCCATATTTTATAAGCATTTATTTATATAATTATTTTTTGATATATCAAAATACTTTCAGAATCTTTTTTGATGAGGCAAGCCGAATTTTACGGAAATCCGAATTTGAGAGAAAAGGCACAAAATTACGCCACGCCTTCTTGCGACTATTATAATGCTTTTCGCGAAAAAATTAATTTTATGAAAAAATATAATCACTTTATGTAAATAAATGAAAAGAATTTTTTTTATGGTGACTGATATATACAGCCTCTGTCATATTACGTAACAATTATACGTGAAAGTAAAAAAATCGACAATATTAATATGAATTATTATTTATTTTAAATTATTACCGCCATATAAAATGCCTTTTTGTTTGTATCTATCATCGTTTCACCTGGTCAATAAATGTATAATTTTTTTTCTACAAAATGTCTAAAAAAAAGTTATTTATACCTTGTTATATTGGTGTGCTAGGTAGATTTAAGAATTAAAACATTTAAAATCATATATTTTTACGGCTCAAGTATAGCCTTGTATCTTTTTGAGCTTTTCGAAAAAGTATATTAGTAGAAATTATAAGAATATTTAACTATTTAAATTGTACTAAATGTACTTTTTCATCGACGATATAATTATTTTAAAAGTATATATTTAGTATCAATTATGAGCTCACAGGATGTATTTAAATCATTGATTATTTAAAACATTTAAATTTAGGGGAGAATTTTTTTTTAAATTTAAATCAGCTTTTCTTATAGGTAGAATTTTACGGGATATTAACTTACAATTAGTGATTATTAAAATTCTATTCCATTTTATAGAATATTATATTCTGTCAGAGCGCTTGTAGCTGATAGCAATACAAGGGGCTCAAGTGAATGGAATTCTCCCGGCTTTTAAATTTTGCAGTATCGTATTGTGCTTGGTGTGTGGGGAGATTCGACCTTGGAATGCCTGACATTTAGGTTAGAGTATGTGGGGCATAATCGGAACTTATGGGGTGGTGTCATCACATAATTTAAACTCACAAGGCAAAATTAATTTTTTATGGACTTAATTTCAGAATCACATTTTTAGATGGAGTGACATTAATATACGCTCGGATCCATTGTTAAAGAAGTTGAATAGCGTATACTTTGCTGATTGAAAGTTAGAATCTAAAATATCAAAGTGCCTTAAAATCAATGCAGTATCTTACTATTGTTGTCTGTTTAGAAGAGGGAAATATAATCAAAGGATTTCTATCTCATTAGTGGAGGTATTATATTATAGACGGTAGATTTTCTTGAAGAAATGAGGGAACCGACGGATAAGGAAATCAATAATATGATTATTCCAGGCACGTCGCTAGCCTTTACAATCTCAGGGGGCTCAACTAAAAAAAAATTATAGGAACTTCACCCCGTACCCCCCTAATATGCGCGGCCGGGTTTTATATTAATATTATATACATTTTTAAGATTTGCTAACTTGGAACAATTATTCTGTCATATTTTGTCATTTATCATATTATGCATGCAAAATAAACTAGCTATAAATAATTAAAACAATACAGGACATTTATAAATATAATATTTTTAATACAAAATTACAGTATAAAATATTTTCGCTGATATAAAAAAATTTTGCGTTTAAAAATTACAAGTGATAAAGGTTAATTCATACATATGCCTCAATTGATAATAGTTTTTATAAACCACATAAGGCAATATAATTCTTAGCAACTTACATTGACAAAAGGTCACAAAACTAATATAACTGTTACCATTTTACACAATGTTTTATATAATGGACCAATAAGGAAAAATTTATAGACCTAACCAAATTAACAATTCTTGAAGAAGAGAATATAAACGACCAATCCAATTCATAAAACTATAAGGTGATTAGAGCTTCCAATTAGATGACATGATGGAAACTAGATAAGTAATCAAGAAAATTATTGTGAGATATTATATTTCTAAAAGATTATCTTCCATTTTTAATGATATATAAACGATTACACCGTTGACCATGATTGCTTATCTAAAATATGCTAGCAGCTATAGTAATAATTTTAAATTATATAGCCCCACAATAAATAGGTGCTAGTTAATTTGCAGTCATAGCCATGACACCCATGATGAATACTCATATCAGAATTTATTATATTAGATAAATTGATAAAACAAAAACACTAAAAATAATTAGAAGAAATTATGCAAATATATTGAAGCCTATGAGCAAGTTTGTTAATCGATCCTTTTAAAAAGATCGAATCACTATCTTTTGAAAAAAAAGAGGATCGAAATCCAGGATAGACATTTTTTTAAAAAAGGATCACGATCCTTCTCTTATTTAAATTTCTGATCGATGCAAAATTAACTAATATAAAAAATAAATAAATATGGTATAAATTTATTGTAATTGAATAATATAATATAAGTATAAAAATTAGAATATATTTATTTATAATTAAATTAGCCTTTAATAATAAAACTTTTTCTTAATTATCATTTAAACAACCACGTTTTTCATTAAATACATGTTTAGCTTTACTAAACAAGTACTCCACAGGAGCGCTTGATGGTAAAGGTGTGTTATATTCAATAAATGTTTTTTTTAATTAACATAATTATTAAAAATATTCACTGAATCATCATTAGAATAAAAAAAATTATTAATGGAAAGAGCATTGTGACGAGTTTTTCTAAAAAAGATATCGATCCATGCATTCATTTGAAGGATCTGCATATGGTTGACCCTGTATATTTTCTAATTGGGCAATTACCTTTCTTTTAGCTATAAATTTTGTGGCAGATTAATAAAATGCTAATTGAGCTTAAATTTTGGGTGAATTATTGATGCCGGGGGGGGGCAGGGGGACAAATCCCCCCACCCAAGTCAAAAAATGCAGATGCCGGATATATTTTTCAAAAATACTATTGTTAATATTTATTCCTATCTCATATTAAATATTTAATTACATTTATTTATCACATTAATTACTTAGTTATTTTATCAATTAATTTCGATTTCAAATTTTCCGGCGTGATATTTATTTATTATATTCAAATTTTTAGGGCAAAAATTTTACAACTATATATATTATTATTTTAATACTATTTACATATATACAATTTATAATTTGTTTTAAGGTTACTTTAAGAAAAGTTATTTTAACGTTTTACATATACAAATACGATTTCTTTTTTTAAAGGTCGCACAAAATATATTTCACAAAAAGAAAACGTACGAATAATTTTAATATTCGAAATATATTTAACATTTCCCTCTTTTTTTAAGTCTCTTTTTTCCTCAGTTTCTTCCAGTCATTCGTTTCTCAATTTCTCCATTAGTCACTTGTTCAGATTGTTTGTTTGACCATTTGATTCTTGTTTGTTGTATCGATTATCGAACATCGTTGGTTGCACATCATTGTTGAAACATCGTTGGTTGACCATTGCTTGTAGATTTGCTGTTTGTAGATCATCCCATTTCTCTTTCAAATTTTTATATATATATTTATTTACAAAATTTTTATTTATTTATAACAATCATTTTCTATGTCGTAGGTCATATTCTCGCTTTTGAACTTGACTTTGAATTTTTGAACTTTTGACTTTGAATTTTCGAATTTTGAACTTGACTTTGAATTTTAATTTTGAACTTAAACTTGAACTTGTTCACTTCTTCCACCTCTAAAAATTTTTATTTGTTTGTAGTAGAATTTTCATTTGATATTTTGTTCGTTGTTTAGCCTGAGTCATATCTTTTTCATTGGTTTGTTCGTATCTTGTTATCTTTATCGTCTAATCATTGCTTGAATATCATCCTCACGTTAGCTTGTTCATCTCGTTATTTATTATCATTTTTATCAATGTTTGTAAATATATATTATGATCAATATATCTCAAATAAAATCATTTTGGAATAATTGAAATGATAATGGAATAAATAATTTATCAGAATCATTCATAAGAATAAGAATCATAATTTGGAATATAGAATAATAGAATATTTGGAATTGTTTCATTTTATATTATAATTTTTTTATTTATTATTTAATTATTTTTATTTTTAAATTTTACTCCTTTATTTTTCAATTTAAACACTTTTTTATATCATAATTTCTCTTCAACTTGCACTTTATAACAAAATTTCTCTTTCTCCTTCCATTTTCAACATACGATCTCCATATCGTACTCTTAATCTCTCTTTCAACATCACGATATTTAATCACCTTGCCTCTCTTTTTAATATTTGTTTTAATTTTCTTTATTTCCAAAGTTTTTTTAAATTTTATTAATTATAAAATTTTTTATTTTATTATTTTCTCTAATTTTTATTTCATTATTGTTTTTAATCACTATTATTTCATCAATTATTATCATGATTTATTTCTTTTAATTTATAAGAATTTATTTCTTTTTTAACATTTGGTATTAATTCACATTCAATTTTATTCAAGTTTTTATTATTATGATATTTATAATTATAATTTTCATGCTTTTTATTGTAATATGTACCTTCATAATTTTTACTATCTACTTTTCTATTTTCCTCGAATATATTTACACTTTTATTAAGTATTTTTCTAAAAACTTTTATCCACGTCCTTCCCAGAATTGCAATTTTGTCACTTTGCACTACATACGCATCTAAGTTTTGAGTTTTGTCTTCATATCTCACTTTTATTTTAACGATTCCTAGCACCTCAATTCTTTTCCCATCATAGCTAGTCAGTTTCGTATCCGATTTATTCAAGACTTTAATTCCTATCTTTCTAGCAATATTAATCAGCAATATTGAATACCGCGACCCGGTGTTGATCTGCATGACTATTGGTAAATCATTAAGGTATATCGTAACTTTGTAATCATCATTTGCCTTGTCATCATCATCCATTCTATTTAAGTCAAATCTGTTGTTGTATGACTGATTATTGTTCTGATTATTATTGTATCTAGTTATGTATCTCGATTCGTTCTGATGTCTATAATATCTATAATTATTTTCATTATATTTGTAATTATCATTATTATTATATCTATAGTTATTGTAGTTATAATTATTTTTATTGTTAAACCTTGTAAAATTATTAAACGGTCTTGGCCCATTATACCACCTATCATTATCATAAACTCTAGGATTATAATTGTTTCTATGTCTTGGTTCATAATTATTTGTATGCCTCGAATCAAAATTATTCACAGAAATATCATATCTCGGTTTCCATTGATATCTGTGTACGTGCGACTTCATCCCTTTATCGTGCTCATCATATTTCATCATCCTTAAAAAAATTTTTTACTAAATAATCTTCTAATTAATCTATGGATTTTGTTTTATCATTATTGTTTTATATAGGTGTTTTCATATTTTAAATATTTCATCAT